GTACAGGGAGGGAGGGGGAGAAAGGGACAGGAGAGGCCAGATAAGTGGAATCCACATTAGAAGACGAAGAAAAGGGAGAGCAACAAAGGCGATGGAGAAAAGGGATGGATGAGGTGAACGGAGAGAAAGAATCTTTAAATAAATTACTGTTGCAGTCCAGGGGACAATGGAGCATTGTGAGAGCATGAGAGAGTAGTTATACACACATGCCAACACACATGTATATGTGTATATACACACGCACGCTGGGCTATTGTGGTTGTTCAGGCCAGTTCATAGAAGAGCAACAATGGTGCTCTCCCCCCCGCAGTTGGGCCACACTGGGCTCAGAGCGATTGTGTGTTTTTTCCACATCAAAGATAAGACCTAAAGTTGGTCCAAATGTCTGGCTCTGGGGTTTGTGTGCTGAATGGGCCCGCAGCACTGGAGACAGTATAATGGCATGAGCCTGGGAGAACACTACAATAGTATTAGGAACACTAATGGCATTACTTGGCACATCTGAGTTGGGCTCAGCTGCTTTCCCCGGCTCCCACAGACTAGGACTCTAACAAGTCTCTGCTTCTCTGACCCACTGCCTGGCCTGCTGGCCGGCACCCATTGGTTCTGCATGTCTGCATCCCCACAAACAGGAACCACCTCGGGGTTCTCTGATAGCCAGCCACTCACAACTCGAAACCATTTGAGGGGATGGTAACGGCGGCAAAGAGAGCTGCAATGAATTGCAGCTTCAGAAAATATAAGCAAATAGATAAACCAAACAAACTGCTTTGTGCTGCAGATAAATAAAACCAGAGTAAAATACTGCAACACATTTGACAATACGTAGTAATCATACTATTTCTCAAATGGGAAAGCAAAACAAATACAGAAACAAAACTAGTCCTAAACAACACAGGGGACACTAAAAACAAATTAATAAGTAATTGGTCAAAGGCTAAAGGTGCAGTTGGGGCATAGCCAATGTCTCTTGTTAAACAGTATATGGTGTTTTAATTGGGCAAAAAAAAAACTATCCTTGACACTACTCTCCTCTAACAATGCCATAATGAAATGCTAGTTTTTGATGGAGGTGAAAATTATCTTTATATTTGAACCACCCCTGTTTTCGTGTTCACACACTAAGTAGTTGTAGCATTCTGCTGCTTAACAGGTCAAGGGGGTGTAACGTACAGTATGTTACGTATTTGTAGCAGTGCAGCTGTATCAATATTAACATTATTTTATTTTGATGCAACTGCCAGCAGTGGTGATTTTGCAACTTGGCAAACATTTGTTAACAAATCTATCATTTTCTTCCCAAAGTGGGAGACACCGTTGGCATCAGAAAGTCCCGATATCTTTGATGAGGAATTACAAGTCAGAGGCTGACATGAACAGTTTCTCCCACTTGGCTGCTCATAATTACACTTGATATGACATGAGCCTGGCATAACCGTCCAAGATCTCTATTTTACTGCTCACCATGGAATAAACTACTGAGTGTCTATTGCAAAAGGAGTGGTAACTGAACAAGTTAATGGGGCTGGGATTTCAGACACAGCCTAGGCCTCTTGACATTTCACAGCAGGAAAAGCACAGATGTGAATAATCAAATTAATGATGGCTGAATTCCATTTACCTGCTTTGGTTTCCGGCTCTTAATATTGCATACCTGCTCACTGCCAAGTCCTACCAGGACACCTGAAGAGAACGGATTCATTGTCAATGTTATGAGTAAAACCTGTGCCTTTCTATGTCTTATTGAAATGGCTGCTGTGGAAAAGGCCTGTTAATGTTAAAACTAAGATAACCATTAAGTTTTGTTCATGGCTATGGAAATAGTAGTTTGCCAAAACAAATCTTAACTTGGTATCCGAAGGTTTCAAGCCACTTAAAAAAGTTAGTTAGCGGGCCTTTAGCTCATAACTCAAGCAACTTTGGCAAGTGGTCAACTTAAAACAATCAAGCTTCTGTTTTTTTGTTTGTTTGTTTGTTTTATCCGTTTTTAAAATTCTTGAGGAAATTTCCACAATTGAACTCACTGTTGATGTGTTTGGTATGACCTGCGTTTACTTGATTGTATTTTGTGTATTTTCAGTGTGTTTCTGTACACGGTTGATTAGCGGTGTTTTTACTGGGTTTCCTATCAAAGTGGTAATGTTTTCTTGTGTTTTACCTGTTTGCATTGAGTACTCTCAGCCACCACAGATAATACCTAACTCTATAGTCCTACTGCTGATCTGTGCTGTATCTTATCAGAGAGGCAGACTGTTGGTGATAATACACTCAGCTTGTGCAGTGGGTCCCTGTTGAGTTAGCAGCTGTTTGTGAATTATTCAAATATAAAGCCCTTTAACGGCACTTTCCAGACAGATTTGTTTTGTAAAAGCAATGCTGAAGTGACAGGTAATACAGCTGATGTTTGTCTGTTTTCCCATGTGAGCCATGATGACTATTGATATCAGTGCAGTTGCATTCTTTTATGGTTGCACTCTCAGTAGTGTATTTTATTGTTTTTATTTAGCTGCGTAGATAACTGTGATATGTAGCAGTGACAGGGAGATGGCGTCGTTCTTTATACTGATATCTTGAGGTATTGATATGGTAGAAACAAGAAAACAACCTTGCTGCTGTTCTTTTTTTCTTTTTCTTTTTTAATTTAACAATGGACATGGGATGTGCACCAGTCTTTCAGTAATAGAGAAACAAATTCAAAGAAGATCATATAAATGAAGGGTGAATGGGAGTGATGTATTTCTTCAAATTTATTAAGCCGCAGCCTCATGGAGTATGTTATTCTCTCCATGACAAAAATATCCATCCAGTCATCATTTGTGGGTATGTCTGGTTTCCACCATCTTATTCTTATCCGTATTAAATATTTTGAATTTGAACCTGCTTTGTCGGATGATATAGCTCCTATATACAAGGTCTCCCACTTATATGGAATTTTCAATTTGAATATTTTCTGGATTTCTCCATGTATGTTTAACCAAAATACAGCAATTAAAGGACACAACCAGAATAGTTAGTAGTGGTTAGCCACTTGGCTCCCACAGTGTCTCCAGCATTTTGGAGTTTTGTTCAGGTAAGTTTTCTGAACCGGAGTGATTTAAAAAAAAAAAAAACCTGGATAGATTTATTTTCCAGCAGAACTCTCTCTGTGAGGTTGAGCTCGTCATTTTCCATTGTATTTCACACAACATTAACCAATCCTTATCTGCTATACTCAGTTCTCCTTCTTGTTCCCATTTCAGTTCGGTATTATTGTTTTTATTGTCCTGTAGTGCCTTGTAGAGTCCTAAGATGCCTTTGCAGCTCAGGCCGGAGTCGTGTGCTCTGCATAGAATTTGTATCGTATTGATTATCATATCCCTTTGTTTTGTGCAGTTGTTCATTTAAATAGTGACGCACCTGTAGATATCTAAAAAAAAGTCACAATTTGTGAGCTTGTGTAGTGTTTTCATTTCCAGAAAGCTCTTTAGTTTCCCCTGATGCATCAAAGTGTAGTAGGCTGTCAACCCCTGATGAATCCATCTTATGTATGTTTTGTTCAGGTTATTTGGGGTAAACTCAGGGTCCCACACCATCTCAGAACCCTAATCATCTTCTCCAACTCCAGTTTGGAAACCATATCTGACCAGATCTTAAGAACCTTATTTATCCTTGGGTTGCCTCTATCGTAGTTTTGTTTACCTTTTTTTTTTATCTCCCAAGGTAGCTTGAATTGTCTTTTGATATTGCTGATTCCATTTCTTTCCATTTGGCCCCAAAGTCAAGGCTACACCAAAATGTCAGGACTCTCAACCGTGCAGCTGTGTTAATAGTCATAGCCAACGGAGGGCAACTCATCCTCTGCATTTGGCCAGCTGGAGCTTCCAGAACCTTATCATGGGCCTCCTCTCCTGCCAAAAATAGCTCAACGAAAATGTGTCCCATTCCAAACATTGTCTGTCTGATACCTCTGTTGGGAGAACCTGGTGCAAATACAGCATCCTTGGCAAAATGTTCATTTTTATTGATTCAATTCTTGAGCCAAAATTGAAGATGGGAACAAGGTTTTACCTATATATGTCTCTG